GACTATTTGTACAAAGAAAACGCCTCCTTACGGTTTCTAATCGGAGCCTGTTGAATTTATTAGATTTAAGGAGTATTATGGGATGCCCAGGGGGGCACTCGCTCAGTATTTACGCACTCTCTTCGGGCAAAAGAAGGCTTCACTGTATATTTCTTGGGAAAAAGGTGATCATTATTACATCCAAACACGGCACAATGACCTTTTTTTCCCATTACAATCTCTTTAAAGGAAAACTTAAAGAAAAATTGCCCCGAAAAGCGCGCGTAAATACTGAGCGAGTATATCGGATCGTGCTCACGCCTTCTGGGCATCCCATGACACATCTTAAATCCAGTTTATCCAATATGGCAGCCGTATCGGTAAAAAGGTATATTCATTTGCATTTTACGTTTTAAATCTAATCGAGTTCAGTTTTTTGCGCATTAGATAATATCCACGCGCCATACAACTGATGAATTATTTATCAGGAGTATTTCTTCAGCAGCAGTTGAAGGAGAATCACAGCTTAAAAGAAATTAAATAACTATCTTATACAAATCCGATATATAATATACAGGTCTTTCGTCTGATCAATAAACAAAATTCAAAGTCTACATTTATCTCATCATTATTCTAGTTGCAAAATATTATTCTTCATTTTCACTTTGTTCTCTAGGATCAGCTTAAAAAATGTCTTTGTTCTGCCGACAAAAAAGGGACACCGAACTGAGCTTGAAGGGAAAATTATTTTTTTCTCCCTAAAGGCATTTTTTTAGTCAAAGAGTAATTATATTTTTATACATTTACATTCTGATTTACATTTTGACTGGAAGGTCTTCAAGCTGTTATCCGATTTGTCTATGAATATGCTAAAGACCTCTAATCCGGAAAACAATGTGACAATAAAAACTAGTGCTGAAAAAGCTAATAGTGCGAATTATAAGGCTTACTTTTTTATCGGGTTGGTATTTTTCCACAAAAGCAAAAAATTGACAACTAGTTCACTATTAGATGATTGTAGGAAGACTGCTTTTTTTGTCAACATTCAGAAAGAATTTATTTTCACCTTCAGTTGGATTTCAAGTTTTTCCAGCAATATTTCGGTCCTACGAAGAGGAGATTTGGTTTTGCGCATGCTTTAAGTGCGGCGTGTATCTACAGCCTCAATTGCAACGTTTTGGGTCTTGCTAATTGTCGTGGATGGTTCGTAGGTGTGGGTAAAAACAGTGTGTGGAACAAGTGCGTCGTGGTGGGTCTTGTAGTACGATCGTTTGTTCAGGCGAGAATTGCAACGCAACACCTGCATCCTTGGTTAGAAAATAATATTCATACATGTTCCGCACTTTGTTGTCAACAGATTCCCGATGGTTTTTGGCATTTAACATCTCTTGGAATTAAAACCGTAAACCCTTGAAGGAGCCTTTTCTCCTCCCAAATAACATCAATATTTACATACTTTTTATGACTACTTCAAACCTCTTAACTCTTTATACACTCACTAACAATATATTTCATGCGTGAGATCAGAGAAGTGATCGTCTATTGCGGCATAATAATTTCCAATAGTCACGGGAGAGTCTATACACCTGTTAAAAAGGAGTCTGACAATGAGAGTCGCTTTATAGTAATTAATTTTCACCTGTTGCCACTGCTCGAAAATACCAGATTATATCGTTATCATACTTTCAGCAAATTTAACCTTTTTAAAAGGGGATTGTCACAGAGTAGCTTATCTTTGTGGCTTCATATAATATCTAGTTTGCTTCGCTCAAAAATGATCTTAAGACATCATTACATCTTATTCTAGAAAGCCCTGTGCGAAGGTAAATACTGTCTCTATGATTTGCTCGGTGGCTTTCCTCACGCTTCCCTTACAGAATTACTTTAAATCATTTACCCCGGCCGTAATGATAAAGAATTACGCTTTCATAACCAGTTAATTTTCACTCTCTTTATCCACTTTGAGTCTAAGCCATAAAGTTGTTTAAAAATTATTAAAACAGCGTCAAAACAATAAATCATAAATCAGTGTTTGCTCCAAGGTAATCAATTTCGGGGTTATCGGCCTCCCTGTGTTTATAATTTTTAGACCTCGAACAACGAGACGTAGGGTGATTCAAAACAGATTTTTTTATATTTCATAAGTTCATTGAAATAACAAAAAAAACAAATCTCGTGTTTCCTGTTGCTTAAGTTAATTTTCTTGATTTTAACGAATTATTAAGCGAATTTCAGATGCTGACGGCTCACAAATCGCGTTTCGTGCTTCTTTCAGTCTTTACACTAAATAGTGACCTGCTAACACAACTAGCATTATTTTGGTGCAATGGTGACAGTTTTACCCTTCACGTTATACATTAGGAAACGAAAGTCTCGGGTACTTTTTCGTGTTAGTCCAAAACTCTAGCAAAAAGCACGCATACTTATATCGCAGTTTAAAATAAGAAGTGAAACTGATTAAAGAAAAAACCCTCTTACGACACGATCATCAGCATGATCTTACTGACCTACACATTAAAATGTTTGTTGCAAACATGCAGTTGAACTAACCTTAGGGAATGATCACTACCAAAAAGGCCTTGGTTTTTTTCTTGGCTCTCTTGGACTCGTTTGATCTTAGCTCCTTTATCGGTAAGCGTTGTATAAATTTCTTGTCTCGCATAATTTTTTGAGACACAATTAAACGAATATCCCTTATTTGCATGTGACGAGGAAAGTTTGACTATCATGCATGTAACTACATATTGCTCAAGTATAGTTGGTATCTCAGCCTCTACGAAAAATAACAATTATATACAGACTGGTTTTATTTGCTATCGGTAAAGTATTACTAGATCTATTTTTGTGAAAAAAGGCATAAATATTTTATATCAGTTGTTCATGAAACTCCAAGGGAACATTTCCACAATTCAAATATCGTTGCCTAGTTTGAAAGAATATTTTTCACGATGGCAAAGTAACCAAACTTAAGGCTGATAATTAAATTCGGATTTTTAGCTACGGAAAATGGGAGTGGGATTCGGGATGAACGGGAAGCGGGAAATGGGAATAAATGATGGCGTATTCGGGAAATGTTATTCTAATGAACTATTCTCTGTCGAAATACCCTATAATTGACCTTAAAAAAACCCCCTTCCCCCCTATTTTATCGACCCAATTAAGCGCCAAATTTGACCATACCACCTTTTTGATCCGATTATCTGCTATAAGATAAGATAACACTAAGGCCTGGTTCAGACGCCGTACTTTTCATGTGCCGAGCCTACCTCTTATTCAAGCTGAAACCTCGCTGTGACCGCGCTGTAGACTAAGTCTGCCGCATGGCACACAGCTTGGATTCAATTCAAGCTGTTTTCAAGCTGTCTGAGACAGCTTGAATTGCGAAAACGGCGTGGTTACAAAAACTGCCCTACCAAATTGATTCAGACGCCGCTCTTTTGCCGTACTTAATTCATCAGTTAGGTTCGGCACATGAGTGGCTCGGCGTCTGAACTGGGCCTAACGAATATAGCAAAGAATAATCCTCAAACCGGAAAAATTAGAGTGGTGTTTGAAAATCTTTCTTTTTAAATTTCGAGTTTTAGTGTTCATTTTCTCTTAAACATTTTCTTAATATTTATTTTCTCTAAAAAAAGTATTTCCGGGAAAATTCCACTAAAATGCATGAATAATGCTGATTGCTTGTGCCTCACTAAAATGCACGAAAACGTTAATGCTAACATAATGTAAAAAGCCTACTCACGACTTAACAAAAAACAAAGATGGCTAGAACGGACACTCAAATATTCTTCTTTCCGTTATCGCAGGACCGTGCTTTTTCGCGATCGTTTCGAGCAATAAAATACAGTGTAGGTATTTTGGCTCAGACCATGCATGCCGGAACAATTAAATATCAGTGACAACTCGAAGGGAGTTGTATGGAGAGCAGAATGACTTGCAAGCAGCCTCGGTTCTAGGTTTTATCGAGGACAGAAAGCTAACGAAGAACGATCTCGCAAAAGAGAATGAAACAAAAGGAGCCAGTTGCCCTGACTCAACTGTACAACAGACCGTTAAGCCTAGTGTGATACTTGTCGTGTTTCAGTACCATTCAAATGAAACCCCTCTAAGGGGAGGATTTTTCTCCCTCTATCAAGAGAGGAAGAACCTAGCACCAAGAATATCCTAGAAGGCGGAACAATTTTTCGTTGAATTGACAAGTAGAGAAGAAGAAATTAAAGATGGCTGGCGACAATAAAAAACATGCAGTTTGGCCCTTCTGCTCTCTCTTCTGGTATAAGTAACCTTGTAGTAGCAGTTGGCAGAATCATCACAATCATCAGCTCATGGTGACACCAGTTTCGTCTGGTTTGTCCCTAGTACTAGGATCAATACGGATCTTTCTAGTGAAAGCAGTTTAACTGGTGCTAGCATCTTCCTCGTGGTAGGACCTTCCTACCTTCCAGCTAAGAAGATCCTACTACTAGGAACAAGTACAACCCTTTCCATGTAAACTGAATATAGAAAACATATGGCGCTAGAATGATCCGACGTCTGGAACCTTCTTGGTGCTAAGGATCTTCCTCCTTGAATGTAAACAGCCGCTAAGAGCGCTAGCGATTACGTCTCTTACCGACACCGGATTTTGATCAAACACACGGGATTTTCCTCATTTCTTCACTATCAAACACCTTCGCTTGTTCTTTGTGTTATGCCTCGTTAACAAGCGCGGTGGAGTGCCATGTCTAATTGGTATCGAGTTCATAACAATTCTACGAGACACGTCAACTTTACCCGCCTGATTAAGTGTCACATCTCTTCTCTTCAGCCGTTCCTTTTCATTTAAAAGACAACTCTACCTTGCCAATTTATTCTTAGGGCGATACTTGCCTTTTCTGCTCGTTTTAAGGCGCGAAAAAGTAGGGACAAAATTATAGCGAAAAGAATCTTTGACGACGCTAAATATGAAACAAGTTGACTTAAAATTTATGCTAATATGACAAAATGATTCACATAACCTCAATAAATACCTTGGCAATAGTTTATTCTTCGTTGATCCTGTTGAATCCGATTGCGTCAGTGAAAATGCGTAGCAGCAGCATCAACTGAACCAAGGCTGATCGCACCCTCCGGTAACAAGATCTAGTAAACAGAAAAAAAATTGAGCGGATTTAATTTATAAATTGGACGTTTACCACGTCGTTTGTTTAACCAGTTGCTCCTTTTTTTTTGTTTCTAAAGTTGATCTAGCGTGGGTGATCGATAGCTGTCAAGGAATTGATTAGAGGATGAAGGGTTACGAGTTGCGAAACAAAAAGGGTTTTTTGATAATTATTTGTTTAATTTCGGTTGTGATTAGACCTGTTCGCCCGTTTTCTGGGCACGTTTTGTGAAAATGCTATAAGAGAATTTCGTTTTCTTGATCCAGTGACAGTGTCTTTAGGCTAACTAATGACGTGGAATATCAGTACGTCAAAAAGTACGTGGGGGATTTTTTTTTCTGCCATTGGCTGCCTCATCACGATATTACCTTTTCTTTTTTCAAGTTTACTATGCCAAGGAACTCCGCACGGATTCCTTCGGTAAACAAGGATCCAATCCACGGCCTACATTTTCATATTTTAAGTTTTGTATCAATTGTATTTGTAAATTCATGCAATTCAGCCTTGGAGGGCTGCCATATGATTTGAATTAAATCTATCTATCTATCTGTCTATCTATCTAAACAAGGTGGGTGGGTGGGAGAAAAGGAGACGTAACAACATAAATCAGCGGGTCACCCTGTAAATGTGCTACATCATTCCACCCAGGGAAACTAGTTATACCCTCAATCACGTCATTATACACCAGGGTATCCTGAAAGGACTAGCTCTTCATACAGGGGGGAGGGGATGGTTTTACTCTTCAAGCACCACATAGTATTTAATCCTGGTTACCCTGTGATGGACCACTATCCCATCAAGTCACTAAGTATATAAACAAGGTCACCCTGTAAAGGACCTCAGCGTTACTACCAGGGGGAGGGGCATGTTCAAGCTCTCAGAGCGAGTTGCTCTATAGCTGAATTATTATTATTATATAAACAACCATGAAATACCAGGTGAACTTTCGCGCGAAAACTTGATATCTTCACATGTGAAAATAACATGTTATCTTCACATGTGATACTCGAAGAGAAATTTCGTATCTCCGCGCGGCCATGTAATATCCTCAATTATTAAAGAGTGTCTCTAGCCCTAAAAACAATAGCAGGAATGTTTTTAAAGGCCAATGAAAATACAGTCTACTCACTCTCACGGACACCTCTATAAGACGGACATCTCGAAAACACGAACACCTAGAGTTGGTCCCTGTCTTCTTTACTCTCTTTATTTGACTCTCCATAAGACAGACATCTCTCTAAGATGGACGAATAGTGCCGGCCCCAAAGCTGTCCATCTTAGAGAAACGTGACTGTAGACATTTTCTGAGAGCTTCCTGAGAACGTCTAGTCACAAGCTAAAAAATTGAGCTTCGTTCATAGAATACTTTTAATCCGTTTATCCCTTGAATGACTTCTAGCGTCAGAGATAGTGTAGATGGCTGGGCGGACCTCCAGTCAGCCTAAGTGCTATATTGGAATTCATTCAGCGTAAGACGATCATTTAAAAGAAAAGTATTGCTTAGTAGCTTTAGTTTCAACGACCACGCTTAAGGGATTTCATCCGCAGACTTACAACTCAGAACCACCTTGTACAGCATAATAAACAGTGCCACAGAAAAGTACTGCTCCGTTGCTTGCTCTTTTGAATGGCAACACTCTAGGATTTCGTCCATATAGTTAGAACCACCTTGTACAGCATAATAAACAGCTGAAACGGTACCACAGGAAAGTACCGCTCAGTAGTTTCCATTTGATTGGCCAATCTTTAGCATTTCATCCACAGACGGAAAGTAAGAACCACATTGCAAGGCATGATAAACAGCACCACAAGAAAGTACTGCTCATAAGCTTTCAATTGAATGACCACTCTTTAGGATTTCATCCACAGACGCAAAAGTTAGAACAAGCTTCAGTACAATAAAAGCACCACTTCAGGAAAGCCGGCGCTGGTCAGCAGCTTAATCAACAAACTAAAACGAAATCAGATTTCTCTTTGTTTAAAGTGTATATGACTCGATTGTTGTTGTTGTTATTGCTGTTTTTTTTTTTTGCGTTTTTAATGCTTAAATATGTGTATAATATGTATCCGAAATTTAAACTCGTCAAAATCATGGATAATTTGTTTTCGTCTTCAAGGGCGCAAATTTCCCCGAAAATGTCCGCCCTACAGCGAGGCCAAATTGACAAGTATGACGTAGAATGATCTGCAAGAATGTAATATACGAAGGATTGTCAATGTCGATAACTCCCCAATCGTTAGCAGAACCTCCATTTGCTTTGCTATACCTTTCTTACAGCCAAATACATCGCTTAATTCCACAAAACAAAAAGTGACGACAAGAACTGGAAACGACAGTTGAGCAAATCAACTGACGTCATATGACGTCATCTGCCTTCTTTACTCGTTTCTAGTCTCTGGGACATTTCTCAAGAGGAAAAAGCAATTTTTGGACGGCCAAAATTCAGAATTATTAATTAAAGATTATCTAAGGACCAAAATCAGTTTAAGTACAAACTACAAGACAGGAGAAGTAGAGTTAGAAGTCTGACAGCGCCTTATTCTTAAGGCTCCTAAGGAGAAAATGGAGCACGCAATAAAATTACTCAGCAGGTTTGCTAGCAAACGGACGTGACGAACACAAATTAAGGAGATTATGGCCACCAGACACCAGATTTTTTACCAAAATTAGTTATACCAGTGTAGAGGTTACAGGAAGGCATGTAATAAAATGCTGGTGATTGAACCATTTTTTAAAGAAATTATTAACATTTTGCTTCTCTAGCTATAATTGTGAGAATACATGTACATATTCCACATTAGAACAGATGGGAATGACGGGCTAATTTAGTATGTCGTCTTATACTGTTAGTATAGCAAGGAAAATAATCTTCTTTAACCTTTTCGCATTGTATAACCTCAGAGCTGTCCGAGCACTTTGGATTGACTTCCGCAATTTTGACGGATACGCTTGAAACTATGTCAAAAGATCAAATGAACAGGACCAAAATATTTTTAAGAAAAAAGAAAATAAACTCAAGTTCTGTCTTAAAATGAGGATTTCATTGGCAAAATTTTTTTTTTATCAAATCAAGTAAACGATCAACAATCACTGTTTACCCACAATGAGACATTCAAGACAGCTTGCGTCGATTTAAATTGCGAACCCATCAGACAGCACGAGTTTTGTGTCAAAACGGCTATTAATTTACGAGTCTTTACGAAGTAGAACTCACGTCTCACGCCGATTAATCGCGGAAAGCCCTTCAATAACCGCTGTTTATCTCAATGCCCCCCAATGAATATTTAAAATGGGTTATTCTAAAGCTCCGTTAATAATGCTGTGAAATCGAGTAACGTTTCAACGTAATTTTGTTACATTCTGTAAAGACAGTTTGAGGATGCGAAGCATAGAACCTGAAAAAGTCCCCCTTGTTACACTTGACTTTGTTACACCAACCGTTGTTATAGTACAAGATATTGAAGAAGAGCGAATCTTGCGTTGTTAAAACACTCATTAATTAAGAAAAATTAGCGCAACCGACACCATAGTCCGTCAGAAATTTCTGACTAGAAAGAAGGCAGCCATCATCAGGTTCGAGGACGAGCTGTATGAGCTGCTGTGCCGTACAAGGCCTTAGCCGGAATTAAAAGGGAAAAAAAGGAAAATGGTGTTTTTACAAGAGCTTGTACTGGAACGTTTTATTTTGGTTTTTAGGAGCGCTAATGAAGAATGGAAATAAAGAAATTAAAGAAGAATTTATACAGAGTGCGTATGAACAAGGAGGAGACTTACCTTTGGTAAAGAAGAATGGCTCTCTGATTACCTGAGGACCTGAGGCATATAGTCTACCGCACTATTTCCCGTTGGTGGATTTCTAGACGGAAGAAAGAAAATCGTGAAAATTTACAGAAGTTAATTTTTTCCTGTCGTATGCAGTTTCTCAACATCCGCTTAAGCGTCATGTTTGTGGAATTCCAGGAAGATTTCAATCAAATAAAGGGCTGGGAGGAGTAGTTTTTGACGGCTATGACCTCCGTGGATCTAATATACGCATAAAACTGGCAGGATCGATTTCCCTACTCTCCGATGCAGGACTGGGCAAGTTATACAGTCACAAACGTGTGAAAGGGCTGGGCAAATGGATCGGAATCATAATAAGCGTCTTCTTAACTAGCCTTGTATATGGTTATCGTCCTCATATCTGATTTGGATAATTTAGTTCCTAAGGATTTAGCTATTCGAGGAAATGAGTAATTAATGGTTTTCTCCGGTTATTTCAGCCGTCTACTTTTTTACAGATATTGAGTACTAATAAGAATATATTGGAGTAACGTCATAAATTTGACGTTGAATTTAATTTGACGTAGCCGGATGTCTGATCACAAGCCGGGTAAGTAAGTATTTTTTAAATTTCTCTATTTCATCTAAACCTTTAAACCAACCTTTCATTAAATGATTTTAATTAGATCCTTAAAATTTTTTATGCCTTGAAAAGGCCTTTGACGCGCACTGACAAGACAAATGCGAGAATACAAATCTTGACATCCAGAACTTAGAGCAACCTTATATTCGGAAGTTGATTTTGGTGGATAAACAGCTTTATCTGAGAACGTCAAGACTAACGCAATCATATCTCAATACAAGACTACCCCTGTCTCCCTCGTAGAGGCTCCCGGGATCCCCATGGGTATTCCATCAAAAATAGAAATAATAGACCTTGTAACGGTCTTGGAAGCCATCTTGACGAGTAGGCAAGCGGGCGAGAAATTACAGTGTTTGTATGAGAATCTAATGTCAAATAATTTCCGTAAAACGAATGTTCTGAAAAAAAATATAGAGGATATTACATGGCCGCGCGGAGATACGAAATTTCTCTTCGAGTGTTGAAAAATATTTCACGAGTGAGCGCAGCGAACGAGTGAAATATTTTTTCATTATTTTGAATGAATAATTAAACAATTATTGAATTCGGCTTTCGTATCTTAAGAAGAATTATGGAGATCTCGGAGGGTGTTATCCGCCTCGGCCGATGACACCCTCCTCGATCTCCATAATTCTTCATAAGATACTCAGCCTCATTCATTAATTGTTAATTAGATACTCATGCAAACACTGTAATTTCTCAAGCGGTTGCCTACTCGTCAAGATAGCTTCCAAAACCGTGACAAGGTCTATTAAAAAAACATAAGCGCGCGTTGGACACAAAGAGGCCTCTGTAGAGTAGACAGACGCTTGCCAAAGAGTTATGAGCGAGCGAGCGAGCGCAAACTGCAATGTCTACAGCTGTGCTGATAGGTACAGACAATGATTTGTACACTGCAGGTAACAAATAAAGGACATTATTGTTCATTCAAAATATTTCTCCGTTCAAATCCCCTGGCTAATTCTTCATAACCAGCAATCGTTGACCTTTAATTTGGAAGTTGTTTACAATGTGTGGAACAGTGCCGTAAAATGCTAATTATATGGCCGTGCTGGTGCATCGATACAGATTTTCTATGCAAATGAGTAAGATATCCAAGGCCAACAAGAGAAGAAACATCGGAATATCCAAGCCATCATCTAATGATTGTTAGTGATATACCAAACATGAGAGTCACAGTGTTTACTCAAAATCAAACACCGAGAATAAACAGAGTTGAACATACGACGCGCAGAGGACCATTTATGACGAACCCATCGAGGGTGTTAGATATTGTATTGAATACTGTTTGGAATGTTTGAAAGTACTTCTCAAACAAAACGATTTTAGAAGGAGAAATGAAGGATGAAAAATGAGGAGTTTCTCATCTGATTTCCATGACTCAGTTTCATATCAAGTATTTATGAGTTTGAAAATGTTACGTCCGCACCATACCCCCAGCGAATACTCAGATAACGGAAATTTCCATATTTGGAAAACTAAGACTAAGGAAAAATCTAACCAATCAATCACCGTGAAAGACGTGACGTATTTCCATAGTTCCTTCTTCTATTTAAGCATATACGTTACACTCACAACTATTCAAAATATATAAAGAGATGTCTTTTCCTTGCAGATACTCTTCTGGCCTGCAGAACAGGCGCTATTTTTAGCGTTTTTTAGGCGAGCACGAAGCGCAAGCATCGAGAAATAATTTTGCGTATTCTTGCATCTGTTCCCTTCAATTTGAGTTCTGTTAAACTCTAGTCTGGTTAGTCTTAAGACAGTCGTGGACTCTTTCGCCATTTTCTCGAGTTCTACACTCACGCCAAAACAGCTATGTTGCCGCGCCATAGCTTGGAAACAAGACTGCGATTATATATTGCCTAAATCTTCCAAATTTGGTCAGTGCCAGCTACAAGGAATGACCCGGGGGATGAAAGCCAATCAGAGACAGAGAAATTTGTTGAATGAATAACACTAGTTAGTAAATGTTAACAGGAATTGGATCAGTTCACTTCGTCCTTTTCTATCATGATCTGTTTTCAAGCTGAAACTGGATGGCCTGCTCAGTTATTATTTTTTCACTGATTTTAACTGGTTATCGTGGGCTATGTAGTTAAATTTCATTAACCAGTGACCTTTGCTTCCTCCAACATTTTCATCGGCTGTTCCACTGTTCGATTACAAGCTCCAGATAATCGGACAGCTCAAATCAGACAGTTTTGGTGTTGCAATAGCAAAATTAAGCAATAAATACATGTACGGGCTGTTGAGAACCAGTCAGACTAAAGCATAAACACAGATATATGATTGCTGATTAGTTCTTAGCCGACGTCAGTGCTTGGATAGGCAGATGAATCTATATTTACCTCATGAACAATAGCCACACCACAACACAACAATATCTAACCTAGAGCTGAGTTTCCGCACCACAAAGAAACATCCACCACATAATATACTATAGGGCGGGCTACAACCGACACTTAGTGTGGGTCTTAGAGACAGTTGACTGTTAAATGTTTCTGAAGAGAAAGATTTCCAAAAATAAAAATTTTGAGGACTTGGTATGACTTTCTCTTCTGTTAAGTTATCACCTTATTTTTGGTGGTTTCAATCGTAATTATCTCTTCGTCTTTAATTTAGAAAATCGCGTTATATCTTCGTTAGCTTTGTTCTCAACAAGTTTCCTTAAGCCAACAGGAAATTTCAAACAAGTGAGATAAAGTAGCTAATGGAAGTCGTGCTGATTAACTTTTGTCCATCAAAATTACTGTCCGGAAAGACTGTATTGCCGGAAATTTTCTTTCACGTTTCCACCCAAAAATTGATCGTTTTTACGTTTTCAAGACGAATTATAAATGACATTACTGCTGACTGGAAATTCGTAACTGTAACACAGTACTAAACGAAATAATTAACAAAAGTGCTAGGCAAAAAAGTTGAGTGTGAAAGAATAAATAAAAACGTAAAGATTATAGACTAAGGGAAAAAGTTACATTAGAATTGGAACGAAAACATTGTTATGAACTTAAGTGGGCGGTGGGTTAGTTTGACGGTGAACATAGTGACGTTGTGTCTTATTATAGTTTTTCTTGTTTATTACCTCTTAGAGGTGAGTAATTTATTAGTTTGCGCAGCAGATAGGAAAATACAACACACAAAACTCTAGATTTGAATAATAACTTTTGTAGCGTATCCCGATGTACGAGTTAATCCTGGCTGGCTCAATGAGTGTATAGGTGAAGAGATTGAGTCGTGTATTAACCGTTGCATGCTTGTTCTTTGCGAATCGTGTAGCGTAATTAAACATCTAACCCTTTGAAAACAACACTTGTAGGCCCTTCTGACCTTTTACCTTTTCTGAATAAAATTAATAAAAGAGTTTCTAAATTAGTGTTGATGGTTTTCATGAAACGTCTAGGGGGAAAAACATTACAGCGACCTCATTTTCCTTGTTTTGATGAAGTGCTACCGGGCATATAAATAACAATTTATATCATGTTTTTGTAAATCCTTTTTTTTCTGTCTTTCTTTCTTTTTTTAATCTAAAGCTTGTACTCTTAACAAACAATGTTAAAGTAAGGACGGATAATTTTCATCTTCTCAGTTTGCCCCTGATTGTTTGAACTTTGAAATGCCTTACCGACAACACAGTTTATCATATATTTGGCTTGCTCACTAACAATAATAGGTTGTCCTCACCGAAAGAACTGGAAACATGCATTTGAAATAATTGCTCGTCCATTATTTCTAACCCAAAATAAACGTCGTTAAGATTCAGAAAGGAAAAGCAAAATCGCGAAACGAAATAACTTATACTTTTTAATTGTCTTTTAGAAAATGTTATCGAGTGTAAAAAATAACAAGCCAGCAATAATCAAGTTAATATCAGGAAGAATAACCATTAAAAGGTGGGAAATAGCCATTTCAAATTTCATGAACGCTTTTTATCTTTTTACTCAAGCGAGAAATGTTTAGTTGATGATCGCCATGAAAATAGGCAAATTCCATGGCCAAAAAGCTCGTAAAGCGATTAAGCACTTTAAAGACCTAGTCTATGGTCTGTATTCTATTGGACTTTCTTTTATGGATAAATTTATTTTTGGAATTTATCATTGCACTATCGTTATCTATATCTATTTTTACAAAAAAGTAAAATAACCTTACCTTAAAAATTGAACTTTGAAATTCCTTCTGTGAATACGGAAACGCAATCGGCGGCAAGTTCCCCAAAACGGCTGTTTGAATAAATTAAAAGTCATTTAAGCTCATATTCCTTTGTTATTGCCGATGTCTCCCGGGCGTGCGTAATTACAATAAATACCTACCACTACTCTAATTAAATTACACTCATTAGTAGAACTTTGTGCCTTTGCACTATTAGTAATATCCTCTTAATACACTTTGCATTAATGCTGACAACTTTTAGGCAACCAATTGTCTGTCACTTCTGACCTTACTCTCGGGTTCAATATCAACGGAAAAATGACCTTCGTCCACGCGAAAAGAACAAAAAAGGAGCCCAATATTTTGAAAGACGGGTTGTCAAATTCATGGCTTGAATTCATTATATTTAGTGCTTTGAACTAATTAAGATCAAATTTGTCATTATTTTCATAACATTCGTGTGCGCAATCTGAATCTGATGCTAAAGTCTTTTTCATCATTAAGAAAATATTTGCATTGAAAAAGAGGTTATACTCCAAACCGTTCAAGATAATATCACTTGCCAGTCTTTCTGTGCTAACATGGCCGTATTTAGGGGCATAAATTAACAATAAATATATAGTTTAAAATTATTTGGCAAAAACAAATTCAAACACACACCCTCAGATCAGTTTGGAACTGAAAAAACGTCATAACAAGAAAACTGATCGATGCTAAAATTATAGGCGATGTCTTAACCTGAAAAAGACTTCTTTTGTTTTGTCAAACAGGAGCCTTTAGCACCTGCGTTTCCATCACTACATTAAACGTCATGAAATACTGACCGAGGTAAAAAAAAATAGATTATTACCGGAATAGAATGGAATAAAGAAATAAACTTTAAAGGTTGTACCTATATATTAAAAAAAAAAATTATATTATTAACCCATAGAATATCAAAATGACAAGAGTTCCTCGAATTTGATTAGTTTGTTCTTTGTTGATCCATAACGTAAACAACTCTTAAGATCCGGGCGTTCTTTGGATGATTGTAATGCCCAAAACTGTATTTCCTACGGAAATGTCTTTTCTCTATCTCACAATCATGGCTGGCAAGCGTTAATTGCTGCAATTTGAACTTGGTAAGCTCTTTTATTTCTAATTAATTATTTTTCACACGAAAGTACGCTATTCATCGTTGGTAGTCAACAAAATTACGCTGGTGGATCAGACTCGCGAGAAATCGTGCGAGACAACGCGCGAGATAAATATCAGCATGCTGCAAGGCATCCTGGGACGAAGAAGAACGACTACAAAAGAGGCTCTTCTATTTTTATTCGCCGTCCCGCCGTAGTTTACGCCTGAAGTGCAGTGGTGGTTCCTGGGGAAGAGCTGGGGGTCCGAATCCCCAAAGGTGCATTCATCAGACGAACGATTTTTTGAAATTTTACCTCTAGTCTTACGTAGCACTTCAAGGGCTCTCTAGATAACAACTACCGTATACCACAACATATATAATCACTGGCTTGATCGCTTCACTCTGTAATAGAGAGCTTATAGGTTCAAAGAGGACGACCAAGAGAACGATATTNTAGTGCGTGCGCATGAACCAGCGTCATTTTGGCGGGTAAACACGATCGCACGCGAGAATGTCGTAGTGACGGAAACAAGTCATCAACTGTTAGAAGTTTTATCATTTTTCGATCAGGAGAGGGCTTTACCTCTTTCATTAAAAAAAACCGTGTTAGGCAAATTTGCTCGCGAAAAAAGGAAAATGAAGCTTTCCGGTACGTCTATCTTTTTGAGAATACGCGAAAAATACTTAAAGTCAAATTTCGACTTCCTAGTTGAACTCGTCCCCGAATCTGAAGGTCTCTAATGTAAAAAATTTTACTAGTGAAAATACCTGCAGCGAAGAGGAGTTGGAATTATTTGCTTTACAACAGTTGTGACCTTTGCGTACATGTTTCCACCCTCTGCAGAAGCGTCTTGGGTCAAGGTAGCTAAAGAGCTTTGTATACTTTCCAAAGAACATGCTGTAAGCGAGAAAGGAAAGGAGAAAATGAACGAAGCAAACAAGAGACTGAAGGGTGGACAGAACAAGCATATAAACATTATAGCAGGTTTTCTTATTATCTAAGGCCATCCTCTTTTTTTTTCTCCGTTTACCGTCGTCCGACCGACCCAAATTTTTGGCATTTTTTTTTTAAAAAAAAAAAGTAACGACGTAGTTACACCATTTTTCACTTGAAATAACTTTTAATATGAAAAATGAGCATAGTAACAGCATAGAGAAAAACAGGAACAAAAACATGAATGTTTTTCACAGTATATTGTACATTTTGTTAATCCAAATATGTGAATGTAAACTTTTAACGTTGTCCTGGGGTACCAGGGCCTACTATTCCGAGACTTCTTGTAATTTTTTTTAGGTTTTTTCTTCAAACCGACCGACCGACCCAATATCAGGAAAAGCATCCGACGGTAAACGAAGAAAAAAGAGGAGATGGCCTAATTTTAAAAAAAATGCCTTAACAACAACAACGTTTATTTACACTGTAAATCAAAAATAAATTATTTTATAAAATATCTAAATTAAAAATGCAAAGAGTTAAGATAGGAATTTGTTGATCAAGCCTTACGCACTAGGCGAGCAGAGGTTTCTCTCTTGCATGGCTATTAGCGTTTACGAAGTCGTTCGCATCGCTTGTCAGTAGCGTAGATGGTTTGTTTTATACGCCCCGGAAGAAACCTCTGTAGCGAGCCGCTTGTGGTTAAGGGATTATCAAACTGAATAGTACATACATTTGAGTAGTTTCTTCTGATTGGCTGCGTAAAAATGGTTCATTGCGGCACTTAGTGACCAAGTTCAAATTTTTGTTTTTTTTTTAATAGAGGGACAACACGGGCAGTTATAATACAGAGTTCTTCTGCCAGACAAAAACTTCAGCGGGAGGCTTATTATTTTTTCTTTGTTTCCTTGGCATAATTCACCAAAGTTATTTTAGACCAACTAAACATTTAAGATGATCGGAAGTTGGTTTCCAGAGAGGTCCGCAAACTTTTATTCAGCATTGTCAGAAGAAAATTACGATATTTTGAATTTGGTGCTTTGAATACTTGAGTAACATGTGCCGACGTCTCAGGAATTAGCCTTACTGTTAATTACAACCTCCAAAAAAAAAACTTTAGTGAAATTCACATATCCCAGCCAACGCCCTATGGTTCCCTCTCCCAGGCTGTGCTCAAAGGAAAATTGAAGGGAGCTTGGTGCTCTGAACCTGTAAAATCAAAGGTGTCGAGCATGTGATTTGTATGAAAATAGTAAGATTTTCTGGGCCACCGGGCTCTGCTAGGGCACAGACCTGCTCTCTGTTCAATTATACTCTCTCGATTGAAAAGGAAAGCTACAGAACACGGGCAGACAGGCTAACAAAAACCAGACAGGGGTTCTTGATACTCAAGCTAAGATAGGATGCCACCACAAGTCAACATTCTCCCAAGCCCATTAGGTTAGCAACCCAATCCTTTTCTACCTTCTTTCAATCTTTCATTTTCAACTCAACCACCAGAGTTCTCCGCTAAGCAGAAAACATTATTTTACGGGCCTGTTCGTTATTTATAATTAATTATTGCTATGGGGGTGGGGTGGGGTGGGGTGTTGGAAATGTGCACAGAGTAGGTCAGGCAGAATTCTCAAAGGCAGTTGCAAATGGGCCAGACACATAAATCTTTATAAAATAACTAAGATAGTACGTGCGCTTTGATTGGCCAAGAGGAGTGTTTGCATGAGAGTACGTAAACATGGTTGTGGCGCCAAGATGTTTTGTTTTTCGCGTGCTATTAAATCATGCAAGCACAAATTTGAAAAAGTTTTCGCGTTAAAAACTTGACAAGTTTACTTTAATTACCCATTCCTTCGTCGGCTGAAACTTGGAAAGGTGTGTCAATTTTTTTCGCTTAAGCTGACACTTTAAGAGAGAAAATTCCGTATTTTGCAAAACAAGAACTGATTACATGTGCAAGACTTTGTGGACAAGACTTTGCGACTGGTAAGAATTTCTATTTTAATCAGTGCCATACAAAGAGTTTTGCGTCTTTTCTCGGGAAAGTTATTTTATAAAAGCAATAAAAAACTTTTTCCCTGTGTTTGCATAATCTGATATTAACACTAGAGGCGTTGGGAGAATTCTTGACAGTTATGCAAACCCGCGACGAAGTCTCGGGTTTGTATAACTGTCTCGAATTCTCCCAACCCCTCTCGTTACAATATATATACCAACAGGTCAGATTAGAATTATCAAAATTCATACTTGGCTCCAAAACACTCAAACACTAACCAGTCACTAGCCTCAGAAAACAGCCAACATTTCACAAAGTCGCCACTGGTTTTCCCGCGAAATGATGTCTGAGAGACATCCCGCCTGGGAAATCTGCTTCAGCCAATGAATCAGAAGCACTACCTAGATTTGGGTAGTGATGTGTCTTCAATATGGAATTTCTGTGCTCATTGCCCAGACATCAATTCAAGGGGAAACCAGTTGTGGCATCACGAAATGTTGGCTGTTTTCTCAGGTTATCCAATCACTACATTTTTTTGGAAACTTAAGATTCTCAACCTTAGTAGCCACACTGTTGGAATGAAGCTACAATGTATCAATGCAGCCATTAACCCAAAAATTTAAAATGATGGGCCAGCCAGTTTTATCTGTGGTGAATTCTCATGCCCAGCCAATTTTAGTTTCCATCAGTTTTCTTTTTTTTTGTGATATTTAACTACCAAGCATCCCAAAAAAGAACTGAGAAAAGGCTTGATACAGATTTTACTAGGGGTGACTACTGGGGAAATTTTAACTATTGCAATCGTATTGCAACAGGCCACATGGATATTGCGGCAGTATTGCGATAGTAAAGGTACTATTGCAATTGTTTGTATTGCCATAGTTTTCGGGAATATCTGTTTTTACTTAATACCTTGTACTTTAAGAAATAACTAACAAGTGGTGGTCATGCAATACAGGTACAAAGCGGTTCAAGAATAAGGACGCTAAAACATTCTAGGTGCTGTAGGGTGGTAGATTGTTTTTTATCATTTTTATCAGTTTCTTTTTTATCATTATTGTCACCTTAAGAATCAAAGATGGGTAAAAAAAAGGTGCCTCTATTTTTCCCAAGAAGTCAAAATGTTAGAAGTATGGAAACTATCAAAACTATTGATAGTTCTCTACACTATCACAATTATAATTGTGTGGTTCCAGAAAATATCCGTATTGGTTATTGGTTCCAGAAAATATTCGTATTGTTCTCAATACGTTTCATTTTTGCTATCGGTCTATCGTTATCACAGCGTTAACATTGCGATTAATAATTAATCGCGATATTAATGTATTGTTAAAGCCTCAGATTTTACCACATGTTTCTAGATAAATTGACAGAGGGCTAGGGGCAGCAGGGCATGAGAGTTAAAGGAAGAGAGCGACTCCATATTTCATTTAAGACAGATTTTTGGGGTGTATTTTTAAACTTTTACTCATAGAGGGGTACTTGCTTTGTTATACTCATCCCGCCCACTGTAATTAATAAACCATCCATCCATCGACTAAAACAACGGCCAAGATAAATGTTCCACAGCAATGAAAGTGAACTGTGCCTTGACCAAATGCAACGGTATAGCAACACAAAGACATTGGCGGAAACTTATTCGTGTCTTGGCATTTTTTTTTGGTTTTTCAACGATCTTGATTAAATGCCAATTTGATCCTGACCTTCACTAATCAGGAATAATGATTTCCGACGAAATAAAGACTAAATCTATCTAAAATAAATTTGCATTACGGTAAGATTTCCGCATAACCTCCTACATTTAGGCATTTTCTACATGTTTCGATTCTATTCGTATAAACTCTAAACTGTTCGTGTGAAATAGATATGCTTCGAGCATAACAAATGTAGGGGACTGTACGGGAAAATGAATTACTCACACTGTAGTAGTCTTCCGACTTTTCTAGTCGTTTCTTTCCATACATTTCTTGAAGGAAAACCGCGAAAAACGCTCCATTTGCTCCCCACGTTTCGTATGTACCGCCTTACTAAGGCGCGGGCGCTAAGCGCCAAATGTTTGTATTTGCTTAGCGCCCTCGCCTGGAACGCGAAGAACATAATTTCATACCGGGGAAGAATGGGCACGAAAACAAGACCCACATGTTCCGTTCAGGAAGAGCGCCCTCGGTTTTGAAAAACCGCCGCTTTTGAGAAACCACCAAGAGGGCAAATATTAAGGGAGATACAGGCATTCAAAAAAATCCAAGACGTTCTGGCAAGTGTCAAGTTTTTGAATGGCTGTTTCTTCTTCAAGTGATTGGCCAGATGAACCGACCAAACGCGGACAATGTGGTCTCAGTGTGGTCTTTCTTAACCTATGGGTCTTGTATTGAATTTCTATGATAACCAAGTCATATCCAGTCTCCCATGATATGAAATCCAGCAATGCTTACGTACGGTATGAGACGTATAAGCTGGTACATTATTCAGCAAAATATCAAACGTAGGGAAAAAGGAAGTCTTCTAATGATTTTGACTCCAAACTGAGTGACGTTCTTGCGAAAAAAAAAACTGAAAAAAAAGTTCTTACCGAAGGACTTTCAAAAGCGACAAAATGGCAACAACAGTAACAAGACCTCTAAAAACTCAAAAAGTCAAAAATTTTAATTGATGTACTCAGAGGCTTGAATCAGTCTAATGACCTTATGAATTAAGAGCTTGTAGTTCATAAAACTCCTGTATAATGAATTTCAAAAGCCATTAGCTCATGAAAATCGTGCGTTATTTAACAATTATTCCTCCAGCTATTGACTCCATGGGCTATCGACTCAGAGGCCATGAGGGCGAGAGGAATAATTGTTTTAGTAAACTCCAACTAGTTTGTCAAAAATATCGAGAATAAAAATTTTTAGCTAGTTAAAGATAGACTTTCATCCTTTTTTTGCCGCCAGAAAGCCCGCGCCTTTCGCTATTAGTGAGCAATAACATATAGCCTAGTAGTATCTCAACCAATCAGAACGCAGCATTGATAATAGACCACTAGCTGGATTTTACTAAAGGCTATTGTTGCATTCTAGTAGGGCCAATCAGCTATACACTCCACTCAGTAATAAAGAAGCACTGCCTTAAAACTGTGTGAAAATTAACAGTATAGAAAAATAGCCCGTAGGTCAAGGACGCGTTAGACAAAAGGTCTGGAGCGAGGGAGGAAAATGGAGAATGAAAAAACGAAAAACGATTTTGAGAAATAATATACTGACTGCTTGGCAATCTAAAATTAAATTTATGTGCATATTTACGTTCTTGTCTCGATTGTCGGGAAAAAAAAAATGAGAAGAAAAATGAAGTCAATCGGCCGTTATTCAATATTTTCTGTACCCTTAGGGTCACAGAAGGCCTACTGCCTCGTTCCTAGGGGTCTCAAGTGTTTGATAAAAAAAAAACGCTACTCGCAGCGATCAAGGAGTATCGCGCATTGGACCATGGGAGTGTTAAGCGTTGGCGCAAAGGAAGCTGGGAAGGAAGGGTTCGCCTTTCCCATGATCCCCTGCACAAAGCCAAAATAGCTGTAGTTCCAGACCTGCGCAGCTGGCGGAATTGTTATTTCAAGAGGTTACGTTTTTGGCGGCAGGGCCGACTTGCTCCCAAACTTCTCTTGGCTCCTTCTAATCCCGCCGGCTAGGCAGGCTATAGTAGGCGTGGTGAGAAAAGAAATGCTTCGAGCATAATATGGATCAAGAGTTTCAGTTGCAGTACTTATAGCAATCTTAAGCTGAAAATGACTGCCACGTTTACCATCAATAATCTGTCAACAACAAAGATCGTAATGGCACCATTGCATGGTTTGTCGCCTTCACTTTCGCAGCAAGCCACTCCGCATTCTTTTATTCCTTCTTCTTCCCTCTTGGCTTCGTCCTCACACTTTTTCTTCATTGCCTCGCAGTCGCTTAATAGTCTACAGCCTCGTTCTTCTGTTCTTGTGTTGTCCTCCTTAATGATATGCCGCTTAAAACAAGTGTATTTCGATTTCTTGGGACACTCCACCTCATTTTGGTTTTCTTCGCATTGCTCTTCTGTGAAGCTTTGATCTCTTCGCATACATTGATAGCACTTGAATGATCCGACTATAATGAAAGAACATGTACATATCACAACGTTTTCAGTCTGATCTTAATACGGGTTAAGAATATATATAGTTACATACAGGTAACAAGGAATATAATAAACGACGATTCAATTTACAGGATAAATTAAAAAAAACGATTTACACACAAGCTTTCGATCCTCTAGAGGAATCTTTATCAAGTGATGGATTTGGGCGTTTTGTCACTGACTTGCGCTGTGATTCACGTGACAAAAAGTCTCTATAGACCGTGTGGAACTCGTAACCAGCATCTCTGTTCAACGTTGGAGACACGTCATAGGAAACCAGATTCTGGCCCGTGTGACTGTTAGATCAAATCACAGTCTGGAACACAAACGATCGATAGTGAGAACTCTCTTTCATTGATAGACGGTTATCACGGAAGACAATGCAAGGACAAGGAAGTATTGAATTGAAACATCTTAAATCAGTCCTTCAACACAACAGCTACAAACAGTGGATGTTTAGAATCTCGCCAAAGACAGGTACAAAATTAAAGCTAAAGTCGTCTCCGATAGTGCTCACAGTGTCTCACTTTGCTACTTGCAAGGAGTTTCAGAAAAGCGTACAAAAGTTTTCAAAAAATAAGGAGTTGGCACATTCAACAAGCCTTTTAACACCATCTGGCAGCATTTTCAGTGGCGGATCCAAGGGAGGTGTCCGGTCCCCCCCTCCCCCACTGACCGCGCCATACGAGAGCCCCGAGGGCCTAGAGAAAATTTGTTGGGCCGGGCCCCGGCCCGGCAACCCCCTGTCCTTACCCCGGTGGCAGGTGGCCGGCCCCCCCCCCCCGGCCCCCCCCCCCCCTTATCTGAAGGTCCAGATCCGCCACTGATTTGGTCCACCTTAAAGATCCGAGACCCAGGGAAACGAGAAATGTGGAAGTTTAGTGCGAAGGCTGTGATGATTTCTATATTATGGAGACGGCTAGTCCTTTTGGAATGAGATTCAAGAAACACGGGCGTCAATAACAAGGGCGTCAATAACGGAGGGAGGGGGACACGTTCAAAAGAAGAGTTAGGGAGGCCATCGAAATATTTTGTCGGGCTCCAACAATCAGCAGAGACGCTGATTGCGAGTTCTCCGCAATCTATCGAGACGTTTTGTCACGTTTTTTACAGTGTAAATCATATGACATAACGCCCAAATCCATCCCATGATAAAGATTCCGCTAGGGAATCGAAAGCTTGTGTGTAAAAAGCTTTTTCCCATCCTGTAAATTGTTGGTTTTCACATGACGTCACTAGAATTCAAACTACAAAACTCACCTGAAAACTATCGATCCTACTGATATACTTTCATGGTGTATTAGAGCAGCTGAAAACTAAGTTTCAAACAAATTTTCGCTTCAAAAGGGTTCTTGGTTTTTGTAATAGACTACGCTTGAATTTCTAAGCTTTTGCGTGACGCAGCATTTACATGACGGCCGAGAGAGCTATCATTTAGGTTAAAAAAGTGACTTTTTTCGAGGAATTTTGCCAGCTAAACAGTTCAAGTATTAAAAAAAGTATTACTTTAATGTTTATGAGTTCCTCTAGGAGTAAATTCACGCTTTTGTAGCAAAACTCGGTAACAGATGTTTCTGTTGGTTTTCGTCCGCCATGTTGGAACTCATCCGGATGAGCTCCAGCATGGCGTCTCCATACATGAAGCTCTATAAATTTGGGTAAAACATTTCCTCGGATATCTCGTATACGAATTATTCCTTCGACCCAAATCTTGACGAGGGTCTTTGTATATTTACCTCCTTTCATTTCCCAGATTCTGGACTTTATCTGTCGAATGGTTTTGATATTTTGAATGGCGTGACACTGAAAACCAGCAATTGAATCATCGTTTATTATATCATTATGTAACTCTTTTTTGGCAAAAAGGTACCAAGGAGCATTAGCCAACTTTCGAAAACGATAGCCATTTCCCAGGTTACTAATTTTCAGCAGAAAGAGAGGACTGCGCGAATTGGTCTGAAATGAAAGCACATACAAATTAAAAATCGCTTTGTCAACTGCCGGAATAGGCAGTTTCTTTCTCTCTTGGTCCAGATGCACTACCACTAAAGCTACAGGAGACTCTAGGGAGATAAGACCACCTCAGTGGCGGATCCCGGGGAGGAGCCCGGGAAGCCCGGTCCCCCCCCCCCCGAGGGCCAAAAAACAAATTTTTTTGAGACCGGGGACCTCATTATCTGAGGGTCTTTCTCATTATCTTTCGCCTTCAATATGCCATGAGATCCTCCTGGAGCACGACTCATACTGAAACCTGGGGCTCAACTGGCTGCACTTGCAAGTGAAGAAGCTAAGGCCAGAATAGATTTTACAAACTGTTTTATTATATAACTTAAGTCATTTTCATGTCTAAAACCCGAGTCGCCCTAAAGTCCTGGAAGATGTGCGCAAGTCGAGCCCGATCTTCACTTTAGCGGCAGTAGCAGGACGTTTGAAGCGGGGACTAAGAATGGTGCTTTTGATTTTCGCTTAAGAGCTTTTGCCGTTTGCCAAAAACGCACGATCCTTGCTTTTACAAAAAAATATCTTTAAGAGAAAATGAAGTCGTTACGTTTTCTACGAGTATACGTACTTGGATTTATACAAAAAGGAAATTTTTGATATCACTTTTTCCGTAAAGGAACTTTCAGATTTTACCACTTTGTTTATCTGCTGTGTCATCGGAAGTACCTTATTGTTACGGCTATGACGTTAATCCAAATATGTGAATGTAAACTTTTAACGTTGTCCTGGGGTACCAGGGCCTACTATTCCGAGACTTCTTGTAATTTTTTTTAGGTTTTTTCTTCAAACCGACCGACCGACCCAATATCAGGAAAAGCATTCGACGGTAAACGAAGAAAAAAGAGGGGATGGCCTAATTTAAAAAAAAATGCCTTAACAACAACAACGTTTATTTACACTGTAAATCAAAAATAAATTATTTTATAAAATATCTAAATTAAAAATGCAAAGAATTAAGATAGGAATTTGTTGATCAAGCCTTACGCACTAGGCGAGCTGAGGTTTCTCTCTTGCATGGCTATTAGCGTTTAAAAAGTCGTTCGCATCGCTTGTCAGTAGCGTAGATGGTTTGTTTTATACGCTCCGGAAGAAACCTCTGTAGCGAGCCGCTTGTGGTTAAGGGATTATCAAACTGAAAAGTACATACATTTGAGTAGTTTCTTCTGATTGGCTGCGTAAAAATGGTTCATCGCAGCACTTAGTGACCAAGTTCAAATTTTTGTTTTTTTTTTTAATAGAGAGACAACACGGGCAGTTATAATACAGAGTTCTTCTGCCAGACAAAAACTTCAGCGGGAGGCTTATTATTTTTTCTTTTTTTCCTTGGCATAATTCACCAAAGTTATTTTTAGACCAACTAAACATTTAAGATGATCGGAAGTTGGTTTCCAGAGAGGTCCGCAAACTTTTATTCAGCATTGTCAGAAGAAAATTACGATATTTTGAATTTGGTGCTTTGAGTACTTGAGTAACATGTGCCGACGTCTCAGGAATTAGCCTTACTTTTAATTACAACCTCCAAAAAAAAACTTTAGTGAAATTCACATATCCCAGCCAACGCCCTATGGTTCCCTCTCCCAGGCTGTGCTCTAAGGAAAATTGAAGGGAGCTTGGTGCTCTGAACCTGTAAAATCAAAGGTGTCGAGCACGTGATTTGTATGAAAATAGTAAGATTTTCTGGGCCACCGGGCTCTGCTAGGGCACAGACCTGCTCTCTGTCCAATTATACTCTCTCGATTGAAAAGGAAAGCTACAGAACACGGGCAGACAGGCTAACAAAAACCAGACAGGGGTTCCTGATACTCAATCTAAGATAGGATGCCACCACCACCAAGATTCTCCCAAGCCCATTAGGTTAGCGACCCAATCCTTTTCTACCTTCTTTCTTTCTTTCATTTTCAACTCAACCACCAGAGTTCTCCCCTAAGCAGAAAACATTATTTTACGGGCCTGTTCATTATTTATAATTAATTATTGTTACAGGGGTGGGGTGGGGTGTTGGAAATTTGCACAGAGTAGGTCAAGCACAATTCTCAAAAGCAGTTACAAATGGCCCAGACACATAAATCTATGGGGTGACAATATATATAACAACAGGTCAGTTTAGAATTATCAAAATTCATACTTGGCTCCAAAACACTCAAACACTAACCAATCACTAGACTCAGAAAACAGCCAACATTTCACAAAGTCACCACTGGTTTTCCTGCGAAATGATGTCTGAGAGATCTATCAGATGCACTAGCTTGCACCACTCAGATCTGGGTAGTGATGTGTCTTCATTATGGAATTTCTGTGCTTATTTCTCAGACATCATTTCGGGGGGAAATCAGCTGTGGCAAGGTGAAATGATGGCTGTTTTCTCAGGCTATCCAATCACAGCATTTTTTGAAGACTAACGATTCTCAACCTTAGTAGCCACACTGTTAAGATGAAGCTTCAATGTATCAATGCAGCCATAACCCAAAAATTCAATATGATGGGACGGCCAGTTTTACCTGTGGTGAATTCTCATGCCCAGCCAATTTTAGTTTCCGTCAGTTTTCTTTTTTTGTTGTTGTGATATTTAACTACCAAGCATTCCATAAAACACTGAGAAAAGGCCTGATACAGATTTTACTAGGGGTGACTTTTGGGCAAATTTGAACTATAGTTAATTTTGAACTATAGTTTTCAGGAATATCTGTGTTTACTTAATACCTTATACTTCAGAAATAACTAACAAGTGGTGGTCATGCAATACAGGTACAATATGGTTCAAGAATCAAGATGCTAAAACATTCTAGGTGCAGTAGGGTGGTAGATTGTTTTTTATCATTTTTATCAGTTTCTTTTTTATCATTGTCACCTTAAGAATCAAAGATGGGTAAAAAAAAGGAGCCTCTATTTTTCCAACGAAATCAAAATGTTAGAAGTATGGAAACTATCGAAACTATGGATAGTTCTCTACACTATCACGATTGTTATATGTTTTATTTTTGCTATCGATCCACGGCTATCGCAGCATTAATATTGCGATTAATTGATAGTTCGATGTATTGTTAAAGCCTTAGATTTTACCACAATTCTAGGTAAATTGACAGAGGGGCAGCAGAGCATGTAGCCTGTGAACAGCAGACGCATTTCTGGTCGTCGCTTCTCTCCCTCAGAAAAATAGCATCTGCGAACCCAAGCGGCAAAACGATTTCCATGACGTAAAACCTTTTTGTTTTGCTATTGGCCAATCAGATCAAAGGATAGAATACAGCTCGAGTGACTCCTTGCGACCTCGCGTGCTGAAGTCTCTTGGATTTTGGTGAGGGTTACCAAATACACTTTGGAACATGAATTTCACAACCATAACAAGGTTTCCTGCAACATTGAATGCAACTGCTTCTTAAGCTATGTATGTGATGTGGGCCTTTGGTTTCACTTTATAAAATACGGTAGTACGTGACATAAACAAAACCTGGACAAAATAATCGCTACAGTGAAAGGAAAGTGACATAGCTTAATGATATCACGCTCAGACTTATTTATTTCAATTTAACAAGTGCTGACAAAAGGTGGTGAATCAATATACAGACACATCCTAGACTGATTCGGAAATCTCTGACAATCGCTCAATAATAATTCTAGTATCGCCACAACACAATGATCTGAAATATCATAAACTTGGGCCGGACCCAGCATGAAATAAATAGTTACAGCAGTAAATTGATCATAGTCAAGATGACATTTCAGCTACAACGCTTCGACTCATCTCACAAAAAACTATGGAAATTAAAACCCTGCAAAGAACATGTATTTAAAGAAAAATAAGAACAAATGCAAAATGCTTTCGATCTGATTAAAGTTCTGTCTGAGCCAAGAAGCACCCACGCATGGAAAGTCAATTAACACACGTCCTAGCTTTCAAAACTAAAGGATATCTACTAAAAAATATCTAAAGCGGCACACGACAAACTATCGAAGAGTTCTCTGAAGCATACTTTCCTGCCAGGGACCGGAAAGGAACAGAAGCAACACATGGCATGATGCATCTACTGTCATTTAGGACTTTTATCATTTCGAATATGATCAAAACAACTAGGTGTGATAAATCATTGACTCCATAGGCAAATAAATAAAAAATCCCCTCTAATCTTTTCTTCGATATGAATCCTATTGATGCTTATTTCATCAATCAGTCCCACAATCCTAGCAAATTAAGTTTCGTAAGCACGTCGTTCTGAGGAAAAAGGGTGGCTATACACAAGCTACGCCGTCCTTTCAATTTCAACTCGTAAACATATCCACCGCACATGATCTTGCGAGAAGTCTTGCGCGTTAGTTTCTCGATTTTAAGAGCTAAACCGTGATTGCCTAAAAAGGTTTTACATCAGGGAAATCGTTTTGCTGCTTGGGTTTGCAGAGGCTATTTTCCAAGGGGGGAGAGAAGCGACGACCGGAAATGCATCTGCTGTTCGCAGGCTACAGGGCATGAGACTTAAAGGAAAAGGGCGACTCCATATTTCATGTAAGACATATTTTTGGGGTGTATTTTTAAATTTTACACATGGAGGGGGTACTTGCTATGTTGCACTTATCCCCTCCCACTGTCATTAATAAAACGTCCATCCGTCTACTAAAACAACAGCCAAGATAAATGTTCCACAGCTATGAAAGTGAACTGTGCCTTGACCAAATGCAACGGTATAGCAACACAAAGACATTTGCCGGAAACTTATTCATGTCTTAGCTTTTTTGGGGTTTTTCAACGATCTTGATTGAATGCCAATATTTGACCCTGACCTTCACTAATCGGGAATAATGATTTCCTACGAAATAAAGACTAAATATATCTAAAGTAAATTTGTATTTCAGTGAGATTTCCGTACAACCTCCTACATTTAGGCATTTTCTACATGTTTCGATTCTATTCGTGTGAACTCTAAACTGTTCGTGTGAAATAGATATGCTTCGAGCATAACAAGTGTAGGGGACTGTGCGGAAATATGAATTACTCACACTGAAGTAGTCTTCCGACTTTTCTGGTCGTTTCTTTCCATATATTTCTTGGAGGAAAACCTTGAAAACGCTTCATTTGCTCCATACATTTCATATGTACCGCCACCACAGCCAAGTGTTAGTAAGGCGCGGGCGCTAAGCGCTCATTGTTTGCTTAGCGCCCTCGCCTGGAATTTGATACCGCGGGAGAATGGGTGCGAAAACAAGACCCACATGTTGCGTTCAGGAAAAGCACAAGCACCGCTTTTGAAAAACCGCCGCTTTTGAGAAACCATCAAGAGGGCAAATATTTAACAATTATTCCTCGAGCGCGAATGGGCTCTAAGTCAATAGCCCATGAGGCCGAAGACCGAATGGGCTATTGACTCAGAGGCCATAAATCCAACTAGTTGGTCAAAAATATCGAGAATAAAAAAATTTTAGCCAGTTAAGACTAGACTTTGCTCCTTTTTTGCCGCCAAAAAGCCCTCGCCTTTCGCTACTGGTGGGCTATAACATATAGCCTAGTGGTAGCTCAACCAGTCAAAACGCAGCATTGATAATAGACCACCAGTTGAATTTTAGTAATAAGGGATATACAGACATTCCAAAAAATCCAAGACGTTTTGGCAAGTGTCAAGTTTTTGAATGGCTGTTTCTTGTTCAAGTATTGGCCAGGTGAACCGACCAAACGCGGGCAATCTGGTCTCAATGTGGTCTTTCTTAACATATGGGTCTTGTACTGAATTTCCATGATAACCAACTCATATCCAGTCTTCCATGATATGAAATCCAGCAATGCTTACGTACGTATGAGACGTATAAGCTGGTACATTATGCAGCAAAATATCAAACGTAGGAAAAAAGGAAGTCTTCTAATGCTTTTGACTCCAAACTGAGTGCCGTTCTCGGGAAAAAAAAACTGAAAAGAAAGTTCTTAGAAAAGGACTTTCAAAAGCAACAAACTGGCAACAACAGTAACAAGACTTCTAAGAACTCAAAAAGTCAAAAAATTTAATTGGTGTACACAGAGGCCTGAATCAGTTAAATGACTTGAAAGCTTGCAGTTCATAAAACTCCTGTATAAGGATGAATTTCAAAAGCCATTAACTCACGAAAATCGTGCGTTATTTAACATTCCTCAAGCCCGAAGGGGCTCTGAGTCAATACCCATGAGGCCGAAGGCCGGATGGGCCTTGACTCAGAGGCCATAAGGGCGAGAGGAATAATTGTTTTAGTAAAATCCAACTAGTTGGTCAAAAATATCGAGAATAAAAACTTTTAGCTAGTTAAAGATAGACTTTAATCCTTTTTTCCACCAGAAAGCCCACGCCTTTCGCTATTAGTGGGCTATAACATATAGCCTAGTAGTATCTTAACCAGTCAGAACGCAGCATTGATAATAGACCACTAGCTGGATTTTACTAAAGGCTATGGTTGCATTCTAATAGGGGCAATCAGCTCATGATACACTTCACTCAGTAATAAAGAAGCACTGCCTTAAAACTGTGTGAAAATTAACCGTATAGAAAAATAGCCCGTAGGTCAAGGACGCGTTAGACAAAAGGCCTGGAGCGAGGGAGGAAAATGGAGAATGAAAAAACAAAAAACGATTTTGAGAAATAATATACTGACTGCTTGGCAATCTAAAATTAAATTTATGTGCACATTTGCGTTCTTATCTCGATTGTCTGTCAGATCTCGAAACATTGCAAAAAAATGAAGCCAATCGGCCGCTATTCAATATTTCCTGTACCCTTAGGGTCACAGAAGGCCTACTGCCTCGTTCCTAGGGGGTCTCAAGTGTTTGATAAAAAAAAAAATGCTACCGCAAGCGATAAAGGAGTATCGCGCATTGGACCATGGGAGTGTTAAGCGTTGGCGCAAAGGAAGCTGGGAAGGAAGGATTCGCCTTTCCCATGATCCCCTGCACAAAACCAGAAAAGCTGTAGTTGCACTCAATTAAGAATCCGCTGGAACGAGCCTTGGGATGAGGCAGGAAGATGAAGCCTGCCCAGCTGGCAGAATTGTAATTTCAAGAGGTTACGTTTTGGCGGCAGGGCCTACTTGCTCCCAATCTTCTCTTGGCTCCTTCTAATCCCGCCGGCTAGGCAGGCTATAGTAGGCGTGGTGTGAAAAGAAATGCTTCGAGCATAATATGGATCAAGAGTTTCAGATGCAGTACTTATAGCAATCTTAAGCTGAAAATGACTGCCACATTTACCATCAATAATCTGTCAACAACAAAGATCGTAATGGCACCATTACACGGTTTGTCGCCTTCACTTTCGCAGCAAGCCACTCCACATTCTTTAATTCCTTCTTCTTCCTTCTTGGTTTCGTCCTCACACTTTTTCTTCATTGCCTCGCAGTCGCTTAATAGTCTACAGCCTCGTTCTTCTGTTCTTGTGTTGTCCTCCTTAATGATATGCCGCTTAAAACAAGTGTATTTCGATTTCTTGGAACACTCCACCTCATTTTGGTTTTGTTCGCATTGCTCCTCTGTGAAGTGTTCGTCTTTTCCGACGCCACATTTATAGCACTTGAATGATCCGACTATAATGAAAGAACATGTACATATAACATCGTTTTCAGTCTGATCTTAATACGGGTTAAGAATATATATAGTTACATACAGGTACCAAGGAATATAGCTGAATATAATAAACGACGATTCAATTTACAGGATGCAAAAAAACATTTTACACACAAGTTTTCGATTCCCTAGAGGAATCTTTATCAAAACATGGATGCGGGTGTTCTGTCGCGTGACTTACATTGTGATTCACGTGACAAAACGTCTTGATAGACCGCGGGGAACTCGTAACTAGCATCTCCGTTCAATGTTGGAGACACGTCATAGGAAACCAGATTTTGACCCGGTGACAAACGATCGATGGTGAGAACTCTCTTTCATCGATCCGAGACGGTTACGTTATTACGGAAGACAATGCAAGGACAAGGAATATTGAATTGAAACATCTTAAATCAGTCCTTCAAGACAACAGCTACAAACAGTGGATGTTTAGAATCTCGCCAAAGACAGGTACAAAATTAAAGGTAAAGTCGTCTCCGATAGTGCTCAAAGTGTCTCACTTCGCTACGTGCAAGGAGTTTCAGAAAAGCTAACAAAAGTTTTCAAAAAATAAGGAGTTAGCACATTCAACAAGCCTTTTTACACCATCTGGCAGCATTTGCAGAGGCGGATCCATCCAGGGGAGGTGTCCGGCTGTACGCAAGTTCCTCGCAATCTACCGAGACGTTTTGTCACGCGATTCACAGTGTAAATCACGTGACGTAACGCCTAAATCTATCCCATGACAAAGATTGCGCGAGGGAATCGAAAGCTGGGGGGGAAACGTTTTTTCCTATCCTGTAAATTGAATAATCGTTTATTATATCACAATGACAGGATTAAGTAACTCTTTTGTCGCTAAGAGGTACCAAGGAACATTAGACAACTTTGGAAAACGACAGCCATTTCCCGGGTTATTTATTTTCAGAAAGCGTGGACTACACGAATTGGACTGAACAAAGCACAGACCAAAAAATCGCTTTGTCAACCGCCGGAATAGGCGGCTTCTTTTCTCTCTTAGTCCAGATGCACTACCATTAAGCTACAGGAGTCTCTAGGGATATAAGACCACCTCAGTGGCAGATCCAGGGGAGGAGCCCGGGGAGTCCGGTTCCCCCCCCCCCCTATTTTTAGACCAAACTGAGGCCCGAAGGGCCGAAAAAAAAATTTTTTTGAGACCGGGGACCCACTTATCTTAGGGTCTGGATGACCGCCCACCCCCTTATCTGAAGGTCTGGATCGACCACTGCACCTAACTGTTGTGGGTTCATGTGACAAACATCCTGCATACTACTATGACTGAAATGTTGATATGTGCTTACGAGCAATGGTAGAAATGTGATGACTGACTGAAAACTCATCTTTCGCAGGAAGAAACTTTTAAAGGTACTACATTTCAAACGCTACGCTGGCTAATTTCTTCTCGGTCTTTTTTCACTCAAGAAAATTGAGGCATGGGTCTTCTATTTAATTCCTCAAAAACGGGGGGGGGGTGGTCTCTAACTTCTTAAGCTTTCAATATAGCACATAACAACTTCAGGACAGTTTTCCTTGGTATAAGTTTAATAACTTTGAATGATGATTGGAGTCACTAATTGTCACGTGACCTATTAAGGCTATTTTTAGCACAAAAATCTATTTGGCAATATGGCACCACTTTTAATTACTTTTCGGAAGTTGCAGTTATCGTCATAGTTATGTGACTAGCGGGTACATTAGTTCTGTGTCCGGGCCTTTTAAGTTTATCTTTTAGACAGGGACGAAATTCGAAAATCGTTTGATAAGAGGACTGGGTACTAGTACAAAATGCAAAATTCCGTTTATTTACACTTTTAAAAAGTTATTCAACAAAGCCTGGGCGCAGATGTTTAGTAATTCATCTAGGGACATTTTTGGTTGCAATTTCTTTGATTGACTGCTATTATAAAATGGTACCATTTCTAATTTAAGTTTTTTTCGCGTAAAAATGGCCGTTAAGGGCCACGTGGCCTAACTTACATATTTTTTACTCGGAATCGCATAAACTTTTGAGAGTCACTATTTTACTCAAGTTTTGTCGCTATAGGCCTTAATCCTCAAAATTTTGACCACCCCTCGACTTTTTGAGGGAAATTGAAAAAAACCGTCCACTCAGAAGCACTTCAAACGATTTGATCTTTTCGCTTTCAATATGCCAGAAGAGCCTCCCGGAGCACAACAATTTAATATATAATTAAAGGCCTCATACTGAAACCTGGAGCTCGACTGGCTACGCCTGCAAGTCAAGAAGCTAAGGCCAGATTAGATTTTACAAACTGTTTTATTATATAACTTAAGTCATTTTCATGTCTAAAACCCGATCCGCCCTAAAGTCGTGGAACTCATGCTCAAGTCGAGCCCGATCTTCACTTTATCGACAGTAGCAGGACGTTTGAAGCGGGGACTAATAATGGCGCTTTCGATGTTCTGCGTAAAAGCTTTTGCCGTTTGCCAAAACGTGCCATCCTTGCTTTTACCAAAAAAATATCTTAAAGAGAAAATGAAGTCGTTACTTTTTCTACGAGTATGCGTACTTGGATTTATACAAAAAGGAAATTTTTGATATCACTGTTTTTGCAATTTAACCTTGCATTGTCACAACGTACAGGAACTTTCAGGTTTTACCACTTTGTTTATCTGCTGTGTCATCGGAAGTACCTTATTGTTACGGCTATGACGTTGTAATTTCTGTGTTTACCCGCCGTTCTTTCTTCGTTTCACTTCAGTTGCACAAAAGTTTACAACAAAGAATTCAACTTATTTACATACACGAATGGAACATGAGAGATAAGGCCAGGGCTTGCTTGTTAAGGAGAGAAATATAAATGTTGATACTTCTTAGGGTACTCAGTCCCACTTCCGGGTAAAAATATACACTGCTTGAGCCCTTTTTCGATCCATAGGTTAAACATTGTTGAACAACAACGCGTGCACATTTGCATAAAGCTCGTTCAACTCTTGTGATTTTTGCACATTACTTTTCCAAATGTTTGTTGCTATTGGTGGTCGATGCCTTATTTTGGGCAAGAGAAGAAACGTTTTTTGGTAGTTTATAGTACCTTATAAATCTTTCAACGGCTTATAATCCGATGAATCTTCTTTTAATTATGTACATGAATTTACAAATTTTAAACGACAGCCTCGATTATTTAATTTCAGTTTTGTATCTTATTTTAGTTTTGTAGTTTAGCCTACAGTCTTCATTTCTATATAAAATAATTTCTGTCATACCACAGGCCGTATAAGCCCCCGGCTTTGGCTTTACTGAGTTTGTACTTTATGAGCGATGGAATAATAAAGTAAAGTAAAGTATTTAACAGGCTTCGCAACCGACAGCTATAAATGTGGCAATGATCTAACTTTTGCTATGAAAAGGAGAAAACTTGATATATTTCATGCTATTATCCCTGGAGGTTATCTGAGTACATGACTTGAAGCTTGAAGATTAAAGCGATCGGTGACAGGAAATCATAAGGGCCTTGACTCGCGTAACCGCCATCAATACTACTGCCATTTATGATTTAATTCGGTCTCCGTTAACACCTCCTTGTAGTCGATCACGAGTTATTCCACCCACTAATAAAATAAATTTAAAGAATTTAAAATCACTTCTCATGTTTTAGATAAAGTTTTCGTTTTCTCACCTGCATCAATAGCCCAGTTCTAGTTGTCTTTTCGTTTCACTTCTAAGAAGTACGAATTTTACGTTTCGCATAGTTCTCGGCTACATTTGTATTGTTCTACTTCGTTATATATACGTTTCCGTTTTACTGTAACCGGTTAGTACTTCGTAGGTAAGGTTGGCCATCTGTGCTCAAGCTGTATCATTGTCATTCACGATCACTTTTGCTAACGTTCGATGAAAAAGTAATATTTTAATAGTAATATGTTAATAGTATTTTAGTGGTTAAAACTAATTTATTCACAGAATAGCTGCAAAAATTATACCGGTATCTAACCAAAAGTGCATACGGCAAGCAGAAAGCAATGAAATGTATATTGCTTTAAGGAAAGCGGATCTGAGGCTTTAGAATACGATGATGTCATACATAACAAAACGTATGCCCCGCGTGAGGGAGTGCTATCGTATTTCAACCGTTTTGGTGTGGACGGGCGAAAAAGATTTGAATGGAAGCGAATATTTTTAGAAAACGGAAAAAATTCTCCGTTTTGAAAAATATCCGGATACGTAGGACGAGGTAACCAAAAGAGGGATCTATAAAAAAGTGATGAGGAGGGGTGTGGGAGTTTCAGCCGTTTACCTGTATATGTTTTTGGGTTCGCTATGTGACATTGTTTTGTTTTTCTTAGCAAGTATGTATTTTTTTTCTGGCTGTAAGCATGTTTTTTTGGATCAATTTAGGTTTCTGGGAAACTGCCCAACTACCCCTCCCCTAAGCCATCATTTTGTCCTAAGTGAGAAGAAAGTGTTAACGTTAGCTTAGGGGAGGGGTAGGTGTGTAGTTTCCCAGGATTCTCTTCCCCGCTCATTCACGTTTCTAAATAGGAAATTACTTAATACATTGATAAAAAAAACACACCACAGGATAGTGCTATAGCTTTGATATGAATAATCACACTTAAGGATTTGATCCACAGTCGAAAACGTTAGGCCCACCTTGCTATTGCCCTTGCACCGCCTAATAAACATCACCACAGGAAAGTAATCCTCAGTAGCTTTCATCTGTATGGCCACACTTTAGAATTACACCCACAGACTCAGAATTAGAACCATCTTGTACAGCATAATAAACAACACCCCAGGAAAAATCTGCTCAGTAGCTTTTATTTAATAGTCACGGCTTTAGGATTTCCTCCACAGATTCAAAAGTTAGAACCAGTTTGTACAGCACTATAAACAGTACCAGAGGAACGTTCTGCACAACGGAAACGCTTTACACGTTCTCACTAAGCTTGATTCCTGGGTACATTGCTCTGGTTCTGTCCCAGTAGTTCCGCTTCAGCTCAGAATTGTCATGAATGAGAAAAGGCGAGACATTTTCCGCAAAAAGAACAAACTTTGATAGCTACTTTTACAACAGATTTCACTAGGATCCCAGTCGTAAAGATTTAAAGATTGCAGAGCGGGTGAAACAAACGCGCGCGCGGAGAATCGCTTTCCGTGCGGGGACGCCCCTCCACCGCGCGCCGCGTCTCCCCGAGCGAGGTGATTTTCTCAACGCTAGCGCGTTTCGTTTTCTCTTATTGCACCAAGAGTATCCAGAGACAAATCGTACTTTCACATGGGGTTTTTAAGCAAGCTATACAGAAAGCTAATCACAGGTGTGACGGGTTCTTCAAAAGGGAAACCTGCTTCGAGCTCGTTGAAAGGCAAATTAGAATTACCCCCTTTGAAAAACAAAAACAAAAAATCGACAAAAATCTTAAGAAACAACGCAATAAAGAAGTCCTTTGGGGTTTCTCTATTATATACAAAATATGTTACATATTTTATCTCATATAGCTGGTTAGCCTATTAGCACTTTGCTCTTTAAGCCGGGGGTGCGCTTTACCCCGTTGATCAAATAGAACACAACTCTTATCTGACGTTCGGTAAATGAAGCTTGTTGCATGAGCTTATTCTTCTTATATAAACTACGAGGTGATGATTTTTGCGATGCGAATAATCACGAGGACAATTTCGCTGATGGTAACAGCAAATGACGATGACTGCGATGATGATGATGTGGATTGTGACGATAATGAAGATGATGACGATGATGATTAAGTTCACATTTATGATAACGGTGATGATGATGATTGATGATGATGATGGTGTTTACAGAAATGATGACGAAGATGATTATGTTAATAATAATAATGATGATAATGACTACGTTAATAATTATGATGATTATGATGGTCATAGCGGCGATAATAGATGACTAAGATGTTGATACCGAGGATGACGACACCAGATGATCATCACCCTGGCAATGGTAAAAATACCAACAAAAAAATTGTGCTCAGGAGTCAATTAGCACCGTCTGAGGTTTCTTACGGTGCGAAGACCGTCTAACTTGCTCCGTCAGGTATTTTTCCGCTGTAATCTTCATAACAGTGCCCGATAACTTTAATAAATGGCATGAAATCTTTGCCTCATTGCTTTTGGCGCTCGCTTTCACCACTCTAAACTTCCATTTCTGCTCCAGTTTGCACAACGTTGCCTTGACTGACGATTCCGTTCTATCACGCACACTGCCAAAAGCGTTACACGCACATGTATGTCACGTCTGGGAGTTAGAATTTTGCAAAGAACTGTTCTTTTTGTTCGCTGGAGGTTTGAGGTAAGGATCTTCACACAGTGTCAAAACATCTGCTCTCTCTTCTTTCCGGTATATCAGGCAACGACGGATAAAATTCTGAGGGAAGACCAACCACAAATGAGACTAATTAGGAAAACTAGGATGTTTGATTTGGACCTACGAGTACTGAAACCAATTTGCATTTCTAGGCTTCAAAAAATTCCGTTCAGAACAGAAGAAATTTATTATTCATTGTTAAGCCTCAAGTTGATATATTTTGTTTTATTTCCCTGAGCCTTGGAGCCAAGTATGGATTATTGGTCTAATGCTACTGTGAAAGTCAAGAATTTGTAACCTGCGAATCAGACGCTTGGAATTAATGGGTGAAACAAAGAACAAGACGCGTGAGGAAGACACGCGTGGGTAGGCACGCTCGAGGGAGATACACTTCCTCTCCCCTTCCAAGCCTCCCTCGCACGCCCCGTTCTTTCTTGCGCCCATTACTTCCAAGCGCCTGTTATGCAGGCTAAGACCTGAGGACTTTTTCTATGAATACAAAACAGCACATCGACCAAATTTTAAACAAAAACGAGGACCTATCGTGTTAATCAAACGATTAACAACGACTACAGATAATAACCGAACAGTTCCAAAGAAACTGGGAGATTTCCAAATAGCTTAAAGGTATGCAGTTGCAGAGACCATCTGAATCCTGCTTTCTTTACTCTTAAAGGACGCAGAAACATACCTTTGCCTCGCTACTGACAACCGGTTTAGCAGGAAATTCCACCTCCCTCGCATGCAGAATTGTGTTATTTTCCAAGATGGCGGCTTGAGTTTGATTGTGGCCGAATGGCTGAAAGTACACATAAAAAATTATAATATTTGTAAAATGAACGTCAACATAATCGCACCCATTCTGGGCCCGGGGGAGGGGGGGGGGTACTTCCTATAGTGGCCTATACGGGATGAGGCTCCGCCCGAAAGGGTACCTCTTTTCAGGGGCCCCTAAGGAGACAAGTGCCCGAGTTGCAGGGGCCACCCTGTCGAATTAAAATGCTTAATTTTACTTTACTTTACTTTACGTTACTTTACTTAAGCGTATGAAAGGGCAGGGAAATCTGTCATTTCGGGCATTTAAAAGGCCCAAAAGGGCGAACAGACGCTTTTTATGGCTGTGAACAAGTCGAGAAAACGTACTGATTTATTTCTATTTTAAAGACTACATTTACACCATTTAAAAGGGATGCAAAGTTCTAAACTAGGTACGTGAAAGAGGTGTCATTTGTTAATAGAAGGTAGACGAAAGGGGTACCTTTTTTTGTCAAAAATGGTAAATAAAAGGATAAGGGGTTGGACCTCGGGTCGGAGCCCCACCCCCCTCCCCATATAAGACCCTATTGAGCACCTCTTGGATTCTGATTTTGTCTTCCACTGAAACACTTTGCTCGCAGCTCGTTTCTCTCTGTGACTTTTAGTCACTCTGAACGAAAGTATCTTCACTGGCAAGGCAGCATTACAAGTTGAGCCTCCACACAGCATAACCAACGTCACCATTTAGCCTAACCACTCAAACGCCAATAAGGCAAAATAAGAACGCCGGTTCTGACCTTCTATCCTGTAAGATGAAATTCTAAGGTGTAACCATTCGAACTCAAGCTACTGAGCAGTACTTTCCTGTGGTACTGTTTGATATGACGTACAAGGTGGTTCTAACTTTTGAGTCTGTGGATGGAATTCTTAAGTCTGACCATTCAAAAGCGAAAGCTCTAGCAGTAATTCCCTTCGTTACTGTTGAAAATGCTCAACATGGTGGTTCAAACTTTTCAGTCTGTGGATGAAATCCTTAAGTGTAACCATTCAAATTAAAGCAACTGAGCAGTACTTTACTGTGGTGCTATTATTACGCCGTGAGTCTCTGGACGGAATCCTAAAGTCTGACTATTTCAAATGAAAGCTACTGAGCAGTAATTTCCAGTGGTTCTGTTTATTATGCTGTAACAGAACATTAGCAACGTTTACAACACACCTTTTTTCCATAGAGCATCTGAAAAAATATTACTCCTACTGACCACACATCAACCTGAAAACAGAAAATGGATAATTCGTAGTCTGCCTAGTTGGCTGGTTTAGCGGGTGAGTTCTGTACTTTTCGGCGGCTTCGCCGCCCGCGAAAATCCGTCACAACTTCAAATTAGAAATTAGCCCAGGCGGGGACCCGGGCAAAATAATCTCCCCAGCTACGCGGGTTAAATAATTGAAAGAAATCAGTTGTTCAAATTGTCGAAAGAAGGCAGAAGAAGAAGAAGAAGAAGAAGAAGAAGAAGGAGGAGGAGGAGGAGGAGAAGGCAGTCTGGTTGAAAGCATTGTTTTTCGTTTATTTCCGCCCTTTTTCTCAAAATATCTAGCCAAGATTTCATTCAATCCAGAAATGACTCAATTAAGTTGGAGTCCTTGCTTGAATAATTTTCGGAGAATTTTTGGACGATTATTCGAATGTTTTTAAAGTACAAAAATTAAGGTTGGGGGCGGTGGGTGTTTGGAAAATGGCAAAAATTAATATTGGATTTGGGGCTTCTTAACAATTAAAATATGAAAAGAATAATTAGAAGACAAATACCAGAAAGTCCACCACCATAACAAGGTGCCTCTGATCCCATTAGCGGACTAACTGGTTTATGTGTATACCTTTTCTACCCTCATTTATTTCCTTCCCAAGTCAACATCATTCCCCTCCCCCCAAACAACCATAATGCTCCCTTAACAGTAAAGATATTCATATATTATAACGAGTCATCTTCTTATTTGCACTCAAACCTCTCTAAAGTTGATGTTACACGAGACGATTCGCAACGACGATTTTTAGCGCAACACAGCGACGCAATGTTGGAACAGTGTTGAAAGCATTCCAAACAATATCGCAACAATGTTGTGATGCTATGTTGCGCTAAAAATCGTCGTTGCGAATCGTCTCGCGTAACATCACCTTAAGGGAAGCGTCTTAGCGAGGTGTGAGAGGTGTTTGCCTCATACAAAATCAAAGAAAGTGAATGGAAGAACGGAGGAAACAACTCTAGTTTCCCGTTGAAGGGACGTGTACGCCTGACAGAAGTTTCTTTACAAACCTTGGACGAGATTTTAGGCGGCTCTTTTCCGACAACAAAGCACTCAGGGGGGAGGTACCAGTAGGTGCCAGCTCCTTGGGACGTGAGTTCCATGCTGTCATCACTGCAGTCCATTACTTTACTGAGACCGAAATCTGTGATTTTCACCTCCCCACTGAGGGCACCCGTGCCAACCATGAGAATGTTTCCTGTGAACCAAAGAAAGTGAACAGGCTTAAGTGCAGAGTACCCGGCCACTCAAAAGCTCTACCTCTAAAACAGAGTCTACGTGGAAAACTGCTCTGAGGCTACGTGCCACGCAGTTTAACCCTTTAAGACTTAACAGTGACCAAGATCAATTTTCTCCCAACAATATCCATACACTGTCAAGAGATAAGTTATGAGAATTAATAAAAATGATCACTTAAGTGAAAATGCATTGATCTATTATCAAATTCTCACAACTAATTCTTTAAAGAAATGTATGGAGATCAGTTTGGAGAATTTGTATGTGGATACCGGGGCTTAAAGGCTTAAGCGAAGCCATGTAGCAGAGTAACCACGTAGCCAGGTATAAACCTCGTTGTTTATGGTGATATTACGCGAGACGATTTGCAACGACGATTTTTAGCGCAACACAGCGTTGGAATGTTAGAACAATGTTTTAACCATTCGAAACAATGTTGCCTTGCGCTAAAAATCGCCGTTGAGATAGCATAGCACGTTGTAATGGAAATTCGCGTGACCCCTTCGGTGTTTCGTTAAGTGCAGTAACTGATAGAGCGGGCGTGACTTGTTGTTCAAGAGTTCCGCTATTATTGTACCAAAGCAGTTTGTTTTGCAGGCGTTCTTGCCTGGCTTAACACCTCATTTTCAAGATGAGACCAAGTGCAAAACCTTGTAATTTTGGGGGAACCAAACGATTTCTTTCATATTAAAGGTAATGCACTTACTCTTGACTTAAAGCGGAGACTTGGGCAACTTAGAAAAGGGCTATTTGTACCTTACTTACAGGCGATAAAAGGGGGAAGACGAAGGAAAACTAGAATCGCGCAAAATGTGACAAAATAATGTATAGAACAAGAAAAGTAGCAGAGGGAAAAAGGGAGAAAAAGGAAGCTCTAGTTTTTCGTCCTTTGCGTTTGCACGAGTGTTATTCTCCCTTTCCCGTCTATAACGTCTGCCATGCTTCCATACATATTTTCCAAGGCTTGTGAGACGCTACACGTTTTACTATGTTCAGCGGCGCCTAGCAGTGGGTACAGGTTTTTACTCTCGTCCTACCGGTAACAGACTACATAAATTTTTGACCACGAGTGGGAAATAGGGTCTTTGCTGTCAATTACTACAACTAATTAACTGATTGACGTTGAGATGAAAAGTACCTGGTTTCAAATCATAGTGAATAACTGGTGGCTTTATCTCGTTTAAATACTTGAGGGCGCTAACAGTCTAAAACAAAGAAACAAGAACTATTGATTAACAAACACCACAAACAATATAACAGTTATAACAGTGCTTTGTTGTTGTGCCCAT